TACAAAAGACCTCATTTGTCGCAGTTCTTAAACCTTGAGGAAACCTGACATTGTGGTCATTCATTTATCTGGTAGGAAAGCACTTGACCTGCAATTCTGCAAGTTTAGTCGTATGGCTAATTTTATTTTATTTTATTTTTTAAATCTGACCCATAATCACTTCTCAAAGACCGTTTCACTCTTGTAAATTCAACATTTTGGTTTTGTTAAGACTTGATGGTATTTACTCTTTACTCTCAAATGACCTGTAGCACTGGTACTTAAAAGATTCTGTAGGCCTATACAATTTAGTTTGCCGTTATTTAATTCTATATATATATATATATATATGTATATATGTATATATATATTGTATATATATATATATATATATATATTGTTACTATGGTGGAATCTGGTTAATCTGATTTTTATGGGTTTAAGTGCTTATGGAATCATAGAAGTAAATTAGTAGTTGGTTTTAATGGTTGTGCAGGGTCATGGGGCTCAACTCCTGATGGCATCTCTCTTGTCATATTCTTTTGTTAGATTGATGCAACTATACAGCACTAATACATCTACAGGATTAGTTCGAATGTCATTCTACAATGCAGTTCAAACATTTTGGTCCTCAAATCCGCCGTTTGCTTGCTTGTCTAATTCCTTGAATAAGCCAACACCACTCCAGCTGGATGTTTCTTTGCCTTCATTTCAAGACATCAGATGGAATGTGTCTCGTCTTGTTTATTTATTCAACATCCAACTGGAGAGAAATGTTGCCACGTAAGAGTAAAAAATGCCTTATTTTCTGATTTGATTGTCATCAATGATCCTTTTTTATGTTGGCTGGAATTGATGCCAGTTTCTACATGGTTTGTGTTATAATTATTGAACTATCACATAGCTCTATTTTAACTGTCGAAAGTGTTGATTATTTGACTTCTGAGCTTTATGTAGAAGTTCAAACATGGAGTACGATGTTCTGATGCAATCCCCAAATCAAAGAGTTTCCTTTTTTTCTTTTTTTTGTTTGAACTTCCTTTCTGACGTTGATTTTCCTATGCCTAATTTTTCTGCATTCACCATACCCTTTGTATTAAAAGTGATTACACTACAAGTTCTCAATGAATATTTGCAGGTTCTTTATCGTGCTTCTTGTGGCATGCTTCTCTTTTGTCCTTATTGGTGGCTTTCTCTTCTTTAAATTCAGGTAAGGTACTATCATGAATTTCAAAGAGTCGTTGGTATGAATCATAGATTATAAGTTGCGATTTTCGGGACAAATTTGTTCTTGGCAACACTAACTATTTTCAAATGTTGAAACTGTGTGATGCCTTCCCCACGCATCAAGGCAGGGAATACCAAAGCTTTTCCCTTTTTCGCTGTCTTGTTCACATCCTTCTGTTTTTCTGTATTACTATATTGCTGTAAGAACATAAACATGGCAAGAAAACATAATATTGAGACTTTAGCAACTATTATCGGCAAAGCAGGTCAAATATTACAAACTAAAAACTGTTTAATAGCTGTTACCTCGTATAATTTACATTATTTGCAACCTTCGAAGGATTTTTATCCCCGTTATTTGTCATGGTTCTTAAATATGTGATGCTCCTTGTGCACTAGAATAATTTAATTCCACAATTGTAATGTAAACTCTCTTATACGAGCCTATCTTCTTGCTTAACCTGATACGATAATGGTCTCTCTCTGAAATCCAAATAATAAGATTGTGTGTGAACAAAAATGGGAGACTTTTGTATATGGTATATTTCTCAAATTTGGATTAGCTTCTGCTACTGCAAGGGGAAGTTCAACTTAACTCAGCTGATTGTAAAGTTTTCTAATAAGATAGGCACACAAGCATGCCGTTTTTCAGATTTATTAGTGGCACACTTGGATTTCTAAGCTTCGGTATCCTAGGATGAACTTTGCTATTTGTACTTCTGTAACTATGATATTGCCAATTCCTATCTATGGATATTTTTTCTTATTATTTCTACTATGTATTTTAACTTTCTGAATTCCAACCTTTTTATAGTTTGCCAAGTAATGTTCATTTAATTGTTTTCATCAAGTGAATAGGCGTGTGGTACTTTGAGAGCATAGTGATGGCACCCATACGGCTTCTACTGTCATTATATCAGATTCATAACTATGTGATAAGATAAATTATCATACGGAAGATTCAGTTTTAGGATTTTTTTTATGTTAATTATATCATCTAATATTCATGGATGTTTACTGAATGTAATATGTATATGTGGAGATGTACAGGGGCAGCAATCAATCTCTTGAGGATTGTTTTTGGGAAGCTTGGGCTTGTTTGTGCTCATCGTCCACTCACTTGAAAGTGTGACTCATATTCGTTCTTGTCGCTTGATAAAAAGAAACGTAACCCTCATTGTATATTGCTAAGAAGATTTTGAGATAGCAACTTTTACTGTTAAACCCCATCTTTCTTGCTTCCAATGCAGCAAAGAACTCGAATTGAGCGTGTTCTTGGTTTCGTTCTTGCTATTTGGGGCATACTGTTCTATTCTCGGCTATTGAGCACAATGACTGAACAATTTAGAGTAAGATTTTTTCTTTCCCTTTTAAATTTTCTTTTCCGTGTAGGCAACATATAAATTTTTATCCCTGAATAGTATTTCCACAGAGTAATATGTACAGACTCAGAGAAGGTGCTCAAGTCCAAGTCATGGAAACTGATCACATAATTATTTGTGGAGTCAACAACCGTTTGAGCTTTGTGTTGAAGCAGCTAAATAAATACCATGAATTCGCTGTTCGGTTGGGGACTGCAACGGCTAGGTAATTGTTTTATTAGTCTCTAAATTTCACACACACACACACATTATATACTGTTTTAAGACAATGGAGTGTTTCTTATATGTAAAGATATTTCTTCAGGAGACAAAGAATTCTTCTTATGTCAGACCTTCCTAGGAAACAGATGGACAAGGTGGCTGACAACATTGCCAAAGATCTTAACCATATTGATATTTTAACAAAAAGGTGATTTCTACTAATAATGGTATGGATTAGATACATTCTTGATTTAGAAGGGATGTTATGACCAAATATTCCTATTTTATTGATATTCTGGAACATTGAGCGGATCGGAAGTTTGGAACCAATTTTGTTTTATGTTTTGTGCACTCCCCGATATTTGAACTATAATATGATGTTTCTATATCACTAGCTTCTTGCCTGACATAAATCCATTGCTTGTTCAGTTGTAGTCTAAGTTTAACAAAATCATTCGAACGGGCTGCAGCAAGTAAAGCACGTGCCATAATTATACTGCCAACAAAGGAAGATCGGTATGAATCAGTTTAATATCGCTCCGGCTGACTTTCTTAAATCATATTTGTTTGTCGTTGTATCTTATTAAATACAACTTTTAGTTGATTGTGTTATATATAAATGAAAGAGAATTAGGACAAATAGTAGTAATCAGACCTAATTGTCTCAGTAAAAACTTGAAGATGCTACCATTTTATACCTTTTCATTTGCAATTTTTTTTTTTAATTTTTTTTTTTTTTTTTTTTTTTTTTTTTTTTTTTTAGTTATGAAGTTGACTCGGATGCATTTCTATCCGTTCTTGCCCTTCAGCCTCTTCAGCAAATGGCCTCTGTGCCTACTATAGTTGAGGTAAATCTGCTGGTGGTGTTTGTCTCTTGCAAATTACTGTTGGAACAAATATTCTTGGTTGTGGTGCAGGTCTCAAGTTCAAGTACATCCGAGCTTTTAAAGTCAATCTCAGGCTTGAAAGTGCAACCTGTGGAGAACGTCACGTCCAAATTATTTGTTCAGTGCTCTAGGCAAAAAGGACTCATAAAAATTTACAAACATTTGCTCAGCTATAGGAGTATATCTCCCTTTCCTTTACCTTTTATATTACTTTATAAAAGCTCAAATATTTTGTTATTTATTTTCTACACCGTTGCTGTTTAAATGTTGATTAAAAAATAACTTTATCCTGCCCCAGAAGAAAAATAATTTCATCTTTATTAATTTTGTAACTATGGTGTTACCTGTTCTTGGCAGAAAATGTATTCAACCTATGCAATTTTCCCCATCTAACTGGTTTGAGTTACGGACAGTTGAGACGTGGATTTCAAGAGGTAGACCATAATCAATAAAATCCTGCTTGTTGGGCTTTATAAACTGACACGTTTTCTGGGTTTCCTGCTTTAATGACCATTTTTCAGGCAGTTGTTTGTGGGCTTTATCGAGATGGACAGATAAAATTTCACCCAAGTGATGAAGAGATTCTGAAAGAAACTGACAAGGTATGTAGAAGGCACCAGTGTCCATGCACTTGAACAAATTTCTCTTATGGTTGTCCTTATGTACGCAGAATCTGCAGAATTAGAGTAGAGCATTTGTGCTTGAAAACAAGTAATAGAATCTGTATTTAAGTGATTTTTCACTGTGTAAATTGATAAGTAATCTAATTTATAGAGTCTCCAAAGTCAATCTTAGAGTAAATTGATAAAAGTTTCCCCATTTTTATTAATTAGACTCAAACCAAGTATAACTTTGTAAAACTAGTGCCTGAAGTAAAGCTTTTGGTGAACATTTTGGAAAAACCCCACACATGTAGTTTTCCCTTCATTCATCGGCTTATGAACCAAAGGTGGGGAATTTAGTTCTGTAGGGACATGATGCAAAATGTCCTCAGTTTCTTACTAAATCCTCTGGCTGCATTTGCAGGTATTATTCATTGGGCCTGTGCACGGAAAGAAGAAACCAGTTCTCACATATCCTAATGAAGCCAAAGACGATGACTCGATAAATAATCGTGAGAGGCTGGACAGTATAGTCAAAAGACCCAAAAGGTCGGGCTCTAAGGTATGTGCACACCTTGTAGTCTGTCATTTTGATATCCTATCGGCAGCCCTTGATATTGTTTTGGATTTTGCTTGCATGCAGGCGTCTGATTGGTGCTTAGGTCCAAAAGAGTGTGTGCTGGTGCTCGGGTGGCGGCCTGATGTTGTGGAGATGATCGAAGAATATGATAACTACCTTGGACCTGGCAGTGTCTTGGTAAAATTGGTTTTACATGGTCTTTTACATAATATGTCGTGCTTGAAGGATTTATTATGATTTAAAGGGAAAATTATGGAAGTTGCTCTTAAGCTTCTGATTAGTCGAAGAAAAATCAAAAGACAGAAAGAGAATAGAAAAAGAAAAAGGACTGGGAACTGAAATTTCCGAATTGCCTCTATCCCATCAAGTTATTACTTACTACGATCATCCTCTTGGAATTTGTATAGACTTACAAATACCACTTCCTAACAGTGCAATTTGTTGAATGGAAAAAGAAGTGAGTATTTATTTGTGATCATGAAAATTAGCTGCCATTTCTTTTTTTTTTTTTCTTTTTTATTATATTCCTCTTGAAATTAGACTAAACCTTAAGGTTACTGTTTGTGACTTATAACCTATGTTTCCATATGTTATGAATTTCTCATTAGATGCTTCTGAAATATATAAAATAAATTAACTAAAGTCGTGGCACATAATGAAATTAACTTTCTACAGTTTTTATTTATGTTCATCGATGATATCAGTACAATTGAGAGGTGCTTGTAGTATCATTTTACGTTCGTCTTCATATATCGACTTACAGTTTGTGTTTGGAACCTGATAAATTATTTCTTTTCTTGTTGTACAGGAAATTTTGTCAGATGTTCCTTTGGATGACAGATACAAGGCTTGCAAACTTGCTGGTCAAGGAAAGCTGAAAAATATTCGAGTTTCTAATAGAGTAATTGAATTAATGTTCTTATTTCTCGCATTGAGAAAATATTTCACTGGGATTTCATCACACTTATCTTTTGGAAGAGTTGATTTTTGTTCTCGCCTATCTCAGGTTGGAAATTCAATGGATTACAACACGTTAGAGGATACCATTATCGACATTCAAAAGTCTTTCAAGAAAGAAGATGAGGTTTCATTTTCCATAGCCGTACTTTCTAATAAAGATTGGCAAGTTGGAGGTAAAAACCTCCGACCTGATTTGTTTCAATATGTCTTGATATTTTTGTCTGAAAATGAACATGTTCTCCTCGTTCAGATCCGTCAAGAGCAGACAAAAACTCTGCGTATTCCCTTCTTCTTGCTGAAAATATCTGTGGTAAACTTGGTGTAAAGGTATGATTGCTTAAAATATATTAAAAAAGCTGCCTATGATTGAATTATAATTTCCATTTTCCTCAACCTTGTTATTGAAATAACCCGTTTTAATACAAAGTTGTGCTTCATATCCAAGTAAACTAATAAAGGTTGCAGAAAACCTTTAATATTTTGTTCAGATTTTCCTGTCAATCTTATTAACATTCTACTTGATGAGCTGTTTCTTGATATAAATGGTATAATTTATTCTTGATATAAATGACCTGCAGGTGCAGAACCTTGTAGCAGAAATCGTGGACTCAAAATTAGGAAAACAAGTCAGTCCTCTATATGTCGAAATTGTTTTTGACGTAATTCAGTGTTAATAAAAATAACATATTCTAAGATTTTTGCTAATTAATTACAAAATCGGTTATCTTTTTAAAACCACTGTTACTCCATTGAATTTTATTTTATTTGGTTTGTATATTACTATTGTTTAAATAATTACCCTCTCGAGGTGAAGAAATTCGATATACAAACCTGAGTGAGCTGTTGGCATTTGGCAAACACACTAGAGATTATATGTAATTTTGTAAAATAACTTCATCTTTATATATTCCTGTTTCTTTTTCTAATTCAGCTAGATGTCTATACCTTCGGGATAATATTTTGCGATTATTCCTAATTTTACATTGCATGGCTCCCTCTTCAAACTTACTACTTCACAGATTACACGCATCAGACCATCGCTCACATATATTGCAGCAGAAGAAGTAATGAGCCTTGTGACAGCTCAAGGTTTTTCAATTTTTCTATTTTACATGGATTCTCAAATTCTGCATTTGTTTTACTTATTTTTTTTTCCAGGAAGTTAGTTGACAATGGTAAGATTGTTTCGTGCAGTGGCGGAAAACGTTGAACTGAATGAGGTTTGGAAAGACATTCTGAATTTTGAGGGAGACGAAATATACGTAAAGGTAAAATCTCTGTGCACCATGGGCTTATATTGCATAATCATATATTCTATAGTTCAATTAAGAAAAAAAAAAAAATCATGAGGTTTAGCCTATTATTACCAAGAGAAGTCCATTTTGAGAAACTAGTAGTTTCTTAGTATTTGTAATCATGACAAAAATGCATTTTTAGTCCTATTGGTTTAACTTCATAGTAATCATAATCTCAAGATTCTAACTTTTCGCCTTTTGGTCCTGTGATTTAATATTTAGCCGCAAGGTAAGTCTACTGAAATTGCAACAAAATTTTAAATTATAGGACTTAAATTGATAATAAAAAAATCTGGGAATTCGGGAATTTGTTGCAATATCAAGGACTGAAATTGCAGCAAAATACTAATCCACAGGGCCAAAAATTGAATTGTTAAAACCCTGGGACTAAAATTGAAATTGCTGTGGTGTTAAACTAGCAGGACTAAAAATGCAATTTTTCTTGTAATCATCCATTAATATTATTTGTCAAGATGCAAAAATTTGACTGGCAATTAAATTTTTGGCTTAGTTGATATATTTTCAATTGGTCACTTAAGGTATGTTCATATATTATTCTACTACTTGTGAAATTGTTTGTGATTATTGGGCAGGACGTTGGCCTTTACATGAAAGAAGGAGAGAACCCATCGTTTAACGAGCTATCAGAAAGAGCAAATCTACGTAGAGAAGTTGCTATTGGTTATGTTAAGAGCAACAGAAAGGTATTAATTGAAATCTTAGTTTTCCGGGTATATGATTGTCGAAAAAAATGGCCATCGTGTACTATTTTGCTGTGCATTTGATTGATTTCCACAGGTCATAAACCCAATGCCTAAGTCGGAGCCTCTAAGTCTTGGACTCACTGACTCGTTGATCGTTATATCCGAGCTTGAAGGAGAACAACCAGTGATTATGTAGTTTTATTTTTCTTTCCCATTTTTTTAGCTGGGAAAACTGAAGGTAAAATGAAAATTGGCAAAATTGTTGTCAAATACTTTGCATGTCCCGCTCAATGATAAGCCATTATCATTTTTTCTTTTCTTGTGATTTACTCTGTTCGTTCATTGGAAATTGCGAGTTATATTATTATAAGGTTATGAAATTAGAGGAGTGAGTGGAAAACTATAGATGATTTGTTTTCTTGAACTAGAAGTAACTGTCGTGAAAGGCTATAGCGTAATTTTGAATTAGTTAGTCTTCGACTAATGAACTACACTAGTACATCCGATGTATTGGACGGACCAACAGAGGATATTTTATACTGACCAAGTAAATAATATAAACCTCAATAATTGTTGTGTTCTCTCAACCTAGACAATAGAAATGGGTGTGTGCATTTGGTACTTATTTATTTGATTTACCAAGGGGGATACCTATTCTATTAGGTCGACATACTTGATATTTTGGTAAATAATGTCGGGTTTATGATGTACCATAGAGATTGTTTACAGTAATTGTATCCCAGTCCGCTAGGTTGATGATGTCTCCGAATTGAGTTCAATAAGGATTACTATGTGAAGTCCGGCCGGCGGATTAATTTTCAACATAATAATAAAGAATTGAGTGGTATTAATTTCAGAACAAAAAATTGGCTAATTATACTGTCATTAATTGAACTAATCAACGGACGTTAGATCTTAAACATGCGGGTAAATCAAGCAATTAGTCGGCAACGAACTATTTGTAATTCGAGCGCTAAATGGAGTGTTCGGTAATATTATTATAGTGGTATTTAATATTATTGAAGTATGAACATAGTGAGCTTGGCTCACAGTCCATGTTAGGAAGCTCATATTTAGCACCTTCTTAGAATTCTTGTTGTAGCCTACAAAGACCTTTAGCCTTCATCACATTAGGTTCTCAACATTAAGTATGCACGTGAGGAAGATGTTTTCTCTTCTCAGAGAAATTGGCCAAAACCGAGAGGTCTAAAGGAGAGAAAAGTTGTGAGGCTTTGGGAGATCCGATGAGTAGTCTACCACAACGATTCTGAGGTATATACTCGCATTCCGGCGAAAATATATTTCTCTGGAAACAACAAGGACCCGCCGACGATCAACCTCGACCACCGGCAAAAGTCCCGCACGACCGGCAGCCACTTTGCGCGCTTGTTGCACTCAGCCGCGCAGCACTGCGTGCCCCCATGCAAATCGTGCGCAGCACCATGCAGGCAGCGCGACGCCCGTGCATTTAGCGCATGTCCCGCTCAGCGCCTCAGTGACCAGCGTGTCTCTGCGCATGACCCGCATATTCTGTAGCACGACCCGCGAGCCCCACGCGTCCCAGCGCTCCCGTACGAGGTCTTCGTCTCCCAATGCCTGCACGCGCTGCGCGACCCGCGTACGCGAGCGACCTAGGTCTCTCCGCCATCAACCCTAGGCGAGCAACAACGCAACCAGACCACTAGCAGCGCGCACAAGCGAGGCCCGCCGACCACCAGCAGGCCGACGATGATCCGACAACGTTTCGGTGACCCTAAGTGACGTCGATAGGCCAGTGACCATGGTGCAAAGCCCAAGGTAACGCGATAAACAACTTGGAGTTTGAGCGTCTCGATGAGGTTCAGACGATCTCCATCAATAAAAATAAAAAACGTCTTGGAGTCGGCAATATTTTAAACTGCAAGTCTTCGAATCCTAGCAATAAATTTCGTTGCGATAGGATTAAATTCGTTAAGTTATTCGATGTGCAAATGAATTGACATTCCTCACCGAACCAACAACTAGTATCAAAGCCTAACCAATTCGAATTTCGTGTACACTTCAAATTAGTTTATGTGAAGATAAGTGAAATAATTGTGTACTCGCAGCACATAATAGTATAAAATTGCAAATATTGAGTTTGTGCAGGGATTCTATGTCCGACTATTATAGTCTGTATGTATGTGTTTTTTTTTTATGTTTGCGTTTTAAAAGCCTCGGACATGTAAGAGAATTTTTTGGGTTCTGAATGTTTGTAATAATTAAACGCGCGGTAGGACACCACATAAGTTACTGTTTTACTAGAAATCATTCATGTATGGTTTCTGCATGGATCATAGACCGATTATATGTAATTGTATATACTATATATATATCGGCTAACTCAAATATTGAGGATGAGCCCGTACGAGGGATGACACGTCTGAGCAACTACGAGCAAGGAAAGCTAAGCTGCGACCTGAGGTTGCCGATGCACGAGCGTCGCGCGCATGCGGGCATGGCTGCGGGCAATTTGTCGCCAAGCGCGGTCAGGCTTAGACGTTTGCGGGCGACACCCGTGCAATCAGGATAGCATCGGGTCAGGCGGTGTGGCGAGGGCATGTGTATCGGCAGATGGGTGTGCGGGAAATGCGAGTGCCTACCTTAGAGCGTGCTCAGTGCAAGCGCGTGGCAGCGTGTAGGATATGCGGAGACCACAAGGAGTGATGTTGCATCGGCATCAAGCCTTCGCGTGCACTGCTCCCCGCGGCCTGATGTTGCATATGTGCGGTGATGCACGATGAACCAAGGCGTTGGGGCTGGCAATGCGCAATTGTCGTGCACGCGCGAGGTCTTCGCTTGCGATGCTGAGGTACGGTGCAACAACGGTTGTGGCGTGCTGAGAAGTCGATGGCGACCCCTGGTGCGATGACAATGGTGCGATGACAACGACGATGCAATTTTCCATAGCGACGACTTTTTTTTGCTACGATGGCGGCCCGACGTCGGTCCGGCAAGGGCAACTGCGGTGGTTGGTGACCTATCACGGAAGGAAAGTGGGAGTTCCATGGAAAAAAGATTCCAAGTCCAAAAGAAGTTAAAGTTCTACAAGGACAAGAGTTCTAGTTTCTAAATTGGATTGAAAATCAAATTCAAGGCCATAATAGTTGGATATCTTTCGTAGTTTATTATGTATCTAATTATACATGTGCCTAAATTATTATTTTTCTTCTTGTGCATGAATAATTAATTTGACAGGAGCACGTTTAGAAAAATCCCTTAATTAAAATTATACTAAGTGCATTGTTTGGAATAAAATAAATAATTATGTAGCCTCCATTATAGATTTATTCGTGACATAATTAAAATCTGCGCATTGGCATTAGGGCCTTCCTCAACTACCGGACAAATTTTAATCACCGTTCATAAGGATAAATCTCCGTCGGGATGGTAGTAGAAAACTTTTCAAAAACGTTTGGGCCCTCCCACCAGCAGACATGCAAGTTTGGTAGTGGACTTTGTGCCTAGTAATGTGTCACAATTAGAGTACATGTAATTATGGTCTCCCACGGGAGTAGCCCTTTTTATCTGTGCGGGTCAATAGGTGGACCGACTATTAATTAAGTGTTGAGAAACTCAACAGGTCGCCACAAGTAATTAATGGGATAAACCATCCTCTTGCGATGGCTTGAACCGTAGACGTCCACACCACCGTGGCCTGCGGGGATTCGGTGTTTGAGGTGTCGGTGAATTTAACAAATATCGTTGTTATGGGATAAATATTTTAGATTTAAATTCAAAAACTTAGACTAAATAAAATTTAGATTGCATGATCTCGAAAATTCAAACCGTATTTCAATTAGATGTCTGTTATTCTCAAAGATAATTTACTAGTTCGAACTTTATAATATAGAACTTGGATAGTGACTTAATTGCTGGGAAGTACGAGCCAAAGAAAAAGTGTATCCGGTTTAAGTAAAAATGACATAGGAAGCCGACTTGTCATATCCTTAAGACAAGAAAGGTAAATCTTATTCAGTAGGAAGTCGAAATATTTTTTCATGGTATTACCTATCGCTATCAGTACTTGGTTTTAAGGAATTGTCTTTACGAGCCATGTTTTAGAAAGAATTCAATTTCATTTTCTAAATTGTGTATGGATGTTACATTTTGTTTGATGGCAAGTTGTTTAAAAAATAAAATATTTTATCCATTCCGTACATGGGTAGACAATTTGTAAACTCAAAGAACCAAAATATCTTACTAAATGAAATAAGTAACACATCGACTAGAACCAATAAGAGGAAACATCCTTCAATAAATGAACATACATTATTTTGACATCTAGTGTTTGGAAATTTTAGCGTTAGTAGAATTCAAAGTTAGATAGCCAAAAATTGAATATAACTAAGTTCATTATAATGAACTCTGAAATTGAATATCACTAAATTCATTATGAATTTTATAATACATTATACACCACCGTTCAATAATTTCATTGATATTCATTATATTGAATTATAAAATTGATTTTTCGTTATTCATATTTATAATATTTTGGCCAAGATAAACATAAGACTTTTAATTTCTAACCATATTTTTTTTTTTTCCACACACATCGACTTTTCATCCTAAAATATTTATAGAAAATCGTAATATGTTAGGTAATTTTTTTCTTCCAATTAACAAGGCGAAATCAAGTTTGTGAATTAATCTTTGCAATATAATTTTTTCTTAAACTTTATTTCATTATATATATAAACATTTATTCTTCAAGTTAATATAATTTACCACTAAAAGATATTGACTAAATACATTAATAAGTTTTACTAATAGATATACATGAAATAATTTTACTAATAGATAGATAATAAGGTTGAAGTATATTAACTATTCTTTAGAATTTCAATATGTGATTTATTTGTATATTATTTTCAACCGTGATTACACTTTTTTAGCATTTTTTTTTTTGTTTTTATTCATTTCCATAATGAAATTTTTGCAAAATATATTTTTATTGCATAGTATGTTAAATAAACTATAAAGCACAAAATAGTAGAATATCATGATTATATAATAGATTTAGTTTTTGGCAATTGTTAAATTAAAGTTGTTTAATTATTATAAAAAATCAAATTCCTAAAAACACGTGTGTATATTGTGTAAAATATTTTATAAGCAATATTTTTTTAAAAACAATTATTTAAATAATTTGAATTAATTACATTAATATACATTATTTTTTTTTATATAAAATAAAAAGAAGAAGACGACTACCTTTATTACTTTTATAAACAATAATAATGACATTATATGACAACAAATTTTATAATAAAATAATAATGAAGTATTATATGTTGAATAAGAATAAGAAAAAATGTTATTTGTTCTTATATCAAGAAAAATAAACATATACACTAAAATAGATTTATATTAGTATAAACGTGTTAGCAAGATAATATATTAATTAATTACAATCCAAACTATCTCATGTTTAATGTTATGACTACAAAACCAATGGTTACTAAAAGATGTGGAAAGTAAATGCTCCAACTCTATTGATCTATAGGCCCAAATGGACAAACCTTGTAGAAATGACTTATTTGAAATCTTTGTCCCGTATATAGCACTAGGACTGCTCATTCGGTTAAAACAGAATCGAACCGACCGAATTTTCAGTTAACCGAAAATTTGATTTGTCTATTATCATAACCGAAAACCGAACCAAAATTTATCATAACCGAAAGCCGTGTTTCGGTTTTAGTCGGTTCGGCTCGGTTAATCGAACTTTGTGCACCTCTATATATATAGCACTGTATCAATGCCAATAAATTTCAGAAAAAAAAAAA